ACGCTGCTGCACCTCTTGTACATGCTTCTTGCCTGAGCACCTCCCATCATATTTTAGTATTTCTTTACGTTCCTGTTCAAAGGAGCAGGCTGTGTCCTTTTCAACAGCCATAGGAGGGCTCCTGTCAGAACTTACCAGATAAGAAGTTTGAAAACTATGTCAGAAGCTGGTAGGCAGTTTCTGGTTTCATTGCCAGTGAGGTTTTCCTGGCTTTTGTTCTATATTTTATGCTAGTTGTAAAATTAAGTAGGTTCATCCCTTGAATTAGAAGGAAGTTGTGTAAATATAAAATATATTCAATTCTTTCAGCCACTATATAGACATACTCAATAGCTGCTAAGACAGGACAGGTTTTTTTCTTAATTTATAAATAAATTTGAATTTAATAAAAATAATGAGAGAAGGATGAAGACTCTGAGAGGGTAACTTATTTAGGAGATGGAGTAACTTACTAAAACAAAATACCATAGGTTCTTCAGGTGTAGAGTAAAAATATACCAGACAAACAGGACAGTGAGAGTTAATTTCCATCATATTTTGATGTAATATACTGCCTCTTTACACCCCAGGGGTAAAAACAAAACAAAACAAAACCAGAGCTGTTTCTAAAAGCACATGTTCTTAGTGAACTGAGTGGAAATACTCAGAAACATGGTTACTTGTTTATTGGAGTGGGTGGTTATTTTTTCACAGTTTTACTGACCATGTATCTGTTTTTCTACCATCTTTCTGATCCCTGTGCTCCAGGTAGTGGAACAGGAAGGCTTGCAGGAAGGGTGGTGCTGGGCACTGCCTCTGGGCATAGAAACACTTCTGAGCACAGTACAGGTGGTGGAGCTGGCAGGGATAATCTGCTGGTTAGGTATGGTATAAATACTGGACTATGTAAACATGTCACTTGCTGTTTGATCTGACTGATTCCCAGAGCTAACGTACGTAAACATCCTGCCCTATTGGTTATTTCCAGGAGAGTGAAGCCAAGGTAACTATTTATGTTAATATTAACTTTATGGAAAATAGATGCAAACATATTAATGACAGGCTGGCACCATGATTAAAGGTTTTCCTTCTTTTCCTAAAGATTTCTGTACTTTTACGCCAGATGTAGAATATGTTTACCAGAATATCTCTTGGCATAAACTGTTTCTTGAGGCATGCTGAAGACAATGTACTGCACTCTGCTACACTGAATTGTGTACACTACATGTTCTGTTTACCAGCCTAAAAATCTGGTCCTAGAGCAGCTCTGAGCCTGCCCAGCATCATACGTGGTGATTAGACTCTTGCAGAATATTTGCATTGCCAAGTGATCACACGCTCTGTGAGCCCAGTGATGATGAAACACGGTGGAGCTGTAATACCTCCTTTCGTTTGCGATCTAACCCTTGCCAAATATCTAGCCAGGGCTTCTGGGCTTATGCCTCCAGCACCTCATATTTCCAGGGTTATCCTATCCAAATTCTGGATTAACCTTGCATTGTTATGTCCAAGATTAATCCTAGAATCAAGTAAAATAAATTAATCATAGGCTTGTGCAGGTGGAACAGAAATGGAAGTGGGACATTTTCAATCTTAGTGTCAGAAAGAAGTCTTAGTTACGCACTAAGTCTGCACTGCCTGCAGGTCACTGGTCTGTCTGGTAGACAGACATTCCTCCTTGTAAGCCAGTGCCTGCAGAGAGATCAGAGTTTTCAGGAAGAACAGTGATCTCGGATTTGAGTTCCTGGTGCTAATGAAGCCATCTATCTGTGGTAAGCTGTTGCAGTGATTAATTCTTTTGCTCTGAAAAATAAGTCTAGATTTGTCTGGCTTTTGTCTGGCTACTGATTCTTCTTCTGGTTTTGTCTGCTCAAGCAAAAAGTCTTCTATTATGATTCTTTTTTCTTCAGTATAGATACCTGTGGATTTAGCAAGTTCTCTGCCCCTACACCAACTGTTACTTGGGTAAGCTAAATAAAGCAGTGCCATCCAGCGCTACTAATGTCACCTTTTCCAGCCTGCTAAAGAGGAACTTGAGGAACTTATTCCATCAATTGCTTCCTTTCCAGTCTTTTAATCATTCTTGCGACTGTGATGACTTCTGGGCTTTGGACTTGCAGTAGGAGATGCTTTATAACCCACCCTTGCTCCCACATTCTCAGTCTGATTGCCATTGTAAAGATGGCAAATTGTCTTAGTCCTCTAGAAGCAAATCGAGCAAAAGTGGGCAGGGAATAATTTTACATAGAATCTCTACAGTGAACTGGACAGGGACACATATACCACAGGTTTTAAGGGCAGCATTTCCCTTCTGCTTTTGATAGTTTCCTGTTCCAAATTATTCAAAAGCAATTTAATCCTTTTTTTACTGTTCCCCTATGCAAATCACTTCCCAGACTTCTGATAGAATTGGGGTCTTCAGCCTCACCACCAGCTTCCCCAAAAGAAGTGTCAGGCAGGAAAAGCCAAATAGCAGAGGACAAAAACCTGAAGTGAAGAGAATTCAATTTCCTGGATATATCAGTGAAATAACAGTGAGAGCAGACAGCAGCTGGACTGAGAATACAGAAGAGCAAGTGGGAATCGCTGACAACCAGTGCTCTTTGGAGACTTCCCTTGTGCTGACTGGGTTACTTGGTCTGAATTTGGAGCCTGTTCAGTATTGGGGTTCAGACCAAACTGCAAATACAATAAAGGGCAAAAATAGATCTGATCTGCCCCAAGACAAGACATCTGTAAGTTGCTAAACCATCCCTCTAACTCAATGCAAATTGCTGTAGGTTTATAGTAAAAACTGTAGGGGACAGGTGACACATATTATCCAATGACAGTGTGTGCAGGTTTTCATTGTGTGCTGCCTGGTGACTGGAAATTGAAGGCATTTTGTCTTGTTTGGACTAGTTTAGACAGGAAAAAGAGGCAAAGGCTGCATGCCAACCAGCTTGAATGCTGGGCTTTGAGAAAGTTATTTCAGGAGCAAAAATCTGTTTTTCAAAGGCCTCCCAGGAAAAGGTCTTAGGTGCATCTCTTGGTTTGCCTGGACTGGAAAGTGTGTCTAGTTAAGGCAAACTAGCTGAATCTTGTTCTGAAGACTGTGTTTTGTTCATGAGCTTCGGAATATGAAGTGTGTGAACCCTCTACAGCGTGAACCTCAGTTAAATTCTATGACAGAAACTCAATCAGTTACAACAGGAAAATTAATTCTTGGAGTCCATTATTCAACTGTTTCAGTAACTCGAGGTAAACGGTGCAGGAACATGTTAGAAACAGAGGTACAAGTCCACCAGCAGTACCAGAAGCAAACAAATTGCTTACCAAACCAGATGGACTGCTGGGCAGTTATGCCTCTGAGACTTGTACAGTGTGTAACCTGAAATGGAGACACGGCATTGATGGAGAAGGTCTTGGCAAAACTGGTGTAATGCTTGATACAAGCCAAACCAGGACACCTTCATCATGTCAATACATTCTGGGTATCTTTTGGTATATGGAACAAACTTGTCTAGACATCGAGGAAGACAATATCCTAGAATAAGACTGAACATAATAATAATGGATTCCTGGTTTTCTTTACATTTTGTTTATGAGAAATAGAAACTGGGTGGTACTTGGGAGGAGAAGGCGGTGCTGGAAGGACTGCTGTAGCTTCTTCATACAGAGCCTTTGATAACGTAACTGTTACCAACTAGAATATCAACCCAGCAGCCTTCTGAACAGCAGTTCTGTGCAGGGCTGCTGGAGACAGCAGCCCCCAGGAAAGGAGGTATATGCTGCGATACGGGCAAATGGCTACTCAGGGGAAAATCCTGGCTCTTTAGCAGTAACCAGTAGAGCAAACATCTTTCATGCTTTATAAGCAGGGGAAAAAAGAGAAAACATTAATTTATGTGCTGTGACTTAAAACATATTTAGGTGGTTAGTTTTCATTTTGCGAAGAGGCCCTAAAAATAAACTGAAAACGTCTTAAAATCCTTGTGGCAAATGGAATGGCAGGAAAAGTCAATTGTTTCCAAATGTGCATTGAAAAAAAATGAGTGAATATGAGGCTTCTCTATAAGAGAAGGAGTCTGAATGGAAGTACGTACTGAACTCTGACTGAAATCATACAGCAGTAACACAGTGAGTCTCACCAGCTTTACAAGATTGACCTGTCAGTACAAACACAGCACCAGAATGTCCGTTTCAAAATTCAACTAATACATTTCCAACATGTCACTTATTTCAGGGAAAACTTACTGAAAAGGTGATAGAGATAGAGATTAATACAGGTCTGTCTCCTTCTGTGCTATTTCTGCTTTGTATAATACGAAAGTAAAGGCAGAACCAATGTTTGAAAAGTTCACTGTCTGACCCACTCAGAAATATCAGGCTGTTTCTGGCCACAACCAGGACAAAAGTCAGGTTAAAGATAGGGAAATGTATTTCTCTAAAGGGAAGGAAAACTTGGAACCGAGGTGTCAAAGGCAGACTAGTGACGTTCTGCATGTAAATACTTTTAACTTTTAGTTAATGTAAGGCTTTTCCCTTGCTGCTGCAAAATGAAAGTGCAAAAATTTAAAGTCTTTGCCTTCCTCTAAACCAGATCAACGTGCTGCTGCTTGTGGGCCTTTTCATTTGCACACTTCCTAAAGGTAGTTCACTGCTGGGGGGGGGAAGTAATTCCTGTACTATTTCTGTGTCAGGAAATGGCCAGGGAATATCATCAATAAATGTAAAATAGGAAAAAAAAAAATCTAAGCTCTCTTTCCCCACTTTAACCATGTAAGTTGCAAAGGAACACAATCAGGTTGTGATTGTGGATGGATGTTGCATGGTTCCTTGTCAAACCTTGTCCTCTTGTCAGTCTGCCTGTCTTGGAGTAAGCTCTTCTCAGGCTGGGTGTGACTCAAAGGCGGTTTGAGGAAAGGTAACACAGGTCTCTCTTTCGAGGAGGTGCTTATTCAGGAGGGATGTAGAGAAGATTTCTGTGCCTTTGGGGTACAACTGAGAGAATCTGCAGCTGCCAGCTCAGGGAGTCTTACCTTGGCCAGTTGTGCTTGGAATTTGTTCTTCGCATCAGCTACCTCAGCAATACGGTTATTAAAGGCCAGGTTGGTGCTGATGAAATGATTCCACATCTCCTCAGACGTGCTCTTCAGTCCAGCTTCTGCATCCTGTTGGAGCTTGGCAGAGTTGGCCCTTGCATGTCGAGAGCACCTGATGTTGTCTTCGCTGAATTTAGCCCATGTTTCAGCCACTGAAACACTAGTCAGAAATTGAAGAGGAAAATTAAGAAACGAAAAGCGGAGGTGAGCTTTTTCCTTCCAGTGATAATTACACGGAATGACACTGAGCATTCATCCATTGAACTGTGCAGACTGTGCAATCACATACATCAGGTGATTCTACGTGTTCATATCCACTTTTTTTTTCCCCTTTTTTTTCCTCTAGAAACCAAAGATTTGTTAAAAACGAGCAAAGACTTTTGGAGAGCTGTTACTTCGACAGTGTCTCTATGGCTTGCTTGAATATTGTAACAAGACAGAGTTATGATTTGAGATTGTGAAGTACATTCACCATTCAAATACTGCTGTGTTAAAGAGTGATAAGGGAACTAACAAGTCATGAGCACAAAAACACTGCCCTCTATTGCAAGCTGCTTTTCTTCTGCTGTTGCTTTCGGCTGGGATGTGAGTCCTGATGAGGCCACTACTAATAAACAGCTTGAAAATTGTATGCCGTTGGGACATTTTAGTTCAGGAATTTTAGTTCAGTCTGTAATGCTAAAGCTCGGCCAAATAGTTTTGCTCATCCTGTTTAATACCTCTCTCTGTATAGCTTGATGGACTAATTTCCAAAGAACCCAGCGATTTTTACCGAAAAGATCTATAGTCCTGGGTGTACGCTTGCATGCTATTTCCCACATGGCACTTCACTGCACACCTGAGCTGAATTGTGATGTAATTGGAGGTGGGTTTGAACCCTGAAGGCACAGAACGGGGTAAGTCAAGCCTAGAGGGAGCCATCTGTACCAAGCAGTTGGAGGGCAAGGAGTCGGCTGCAGCAGGTGTAAACCCTTGTCCTGGCTGGAAAACCCAGCGCCCTGCGCAGCAGCCCTGTCGGGGCTGCACCCTGCCAGCTTCTGCCTGGCCTCCAGCACCGGCAGCTGTCAGGAGGTGGGAAAGAAGTGAGGAGGAGAGAGGGTTTCCCACCAAGGAAAACCAGGGCCATACGGAGAAAGGAACCAGCCGAGAGAGAAGCCCCTGCTTTCGGTGTCGCTTCTCAGAGGTAAGGCTGGGTCTCCTGCTGTCATCAGGCTCCTACTGACACCAGGGGGCACAGCAAAAGAAGGCTGCAACAGCCACTCCTACTCACGTCCCACTTGCTTTTTCCACTCCATGGTAAAAGTTGATGCTGTCTGATGTGTTCCTCAGGTCAAAGCACTTCACATCAATAACATGGGCCGAGTTTTTGTCAGAAAGATCCTGCTCCAGGGCATGTTGTGCATCTCTGTTGATGCTCTGAAGGGGAAAGGCTTACTTTAATCTGAAACCCCTTTCATGCTGTTCAAGTGCTAAAGAGTTAATTTCAATTGCTTCCTACAGTGCTTTATTTGATAGTTTGTTGGCATTTAGAGCAGCTTGACAATGTTTGGTGCTGTAATTGAGCTAGAGGGAGCTGCTGTACCATTCACCTCTTCTAGCCTGTAGCCAGTATTCCCCAAAGAATTGTATTTCACTCACTGCATAGTTTTACCTCATCAAATGATAAGACATAAATATCATTTGCATTTACTAGTATATTTGGGTACTCACAAAGAAATAAAATACATTCCAAAGCCTCCCGTAACAAAAACATATATAAATGTACATAAAAATAATTGAAGTCCGTAAGTCATCTCAGACCTTATGATGTGCTTAGATCCCCTTTTTTATTGTCAATAATAAATGTGCTTTGAATTTAGTTTTGTAATTAAAAAAAAAATCCCTGTGGACTTCACTCCAGCGTGCCACATAGCAATGCTGGCACAACTAAGCTGTAATTTTGGTGCCCCTCATTTTAATGAAGGATTTCAGATGAAATATTCCTTTAACAATTGAGTGATGGTCATCTTGAAATAGTAAGCACTGCTATTCTGTGGTTTACCATACCAATTCTGTCACTGTAAAGAACAGAAGTGGAGGGTAATGAGCATCTAACAGGCTGTCTTTTGCCTTTGCTCTTTTCAGTCTGTGGTTGGATACGAGCTAACACTGAGTTCAGCTTTCCTATCTTTAAAACAGGAATTAAATGTAAAGTCTTACCCCAACTGTTGACTGATTTTCTGTGCAAGTTTTGTTAACATTTCTTGACGGTCCTTGAACACATCAGTCTCCTACAGTGGAAAATAGACAGTGTCAGTGCTTTCATCAAATGGCATTTGTTTTAGGGAATTACCCTTTTTATTCTGCATCCTAGATGTTGCAACCATCTCACCTATCTCAAATGCAGTGTAGGTCGAGAAAGGCAGTGTATTGGTCCCTCTCTTCTTCGGTGCTACAAAGGTATATCTTTTGACTTGGTTTTGTATGGCTTTTTATATCAAACAGGTTAGTAGATTTTATTGGGTGGAGTCATTCTAATCAAGTCAAATTTTGCTTGGCTTAAGTACCATGAAGATACTTGAAACATGAACCTTAACCCCTTAAACTACCCTCTCTAACTTCTTACACACTTTTCCGGAACAATACAAATATTTTGCTGCAGTGGAGTACGTCAAAAATAGATCTGATTTCAGAAACAGGCTCCCTAAGGAAGTATATTGTGGTGTTCTTGAAAACTATAAATACTAGTCAAAGACATTCAAAGCCAATTTGTCAGCTTAAATGAAATTTAAAATACTCAAATCAAGCACACTGTAAACTATGCAAACGACGTTATGGTGTTCCAGCCTCTTTTGTTTTCTAAAAACTCTGTTTTAGCTCAACATACCCTCATACCTCAGTGTGTGCAGTTTTGTGAGTTTTGAAACAGGGAATAAAGTCGTTTAAATTCTTTGCAAGTCATGGAGACACCCCAGATTCAAAAATACAGGCTCTGTCTCTGTATATGTAGGAGTTAGAGCAGCTTCAGAGCTGGCTTTCCTGGTATTACAAAATGAGCCGTTGTAGTCCTTCACTGTCACTATCCAGCTTGCTCCACAGGGAGAGCAGTGCTTGGGGAGATCAGGCAAATAGCCTTTATTTTCATTGTGAACAAATAGTTTTTTCATCTGTTCAGGGGGAACATGGAGCAGTGTTTCATCCTACCCTGAATTCTCATGCTAAATTAAGTGCTGAAATACTTCAGCCAATATATCTTAGCTCCCTGATTGCTCATTGAAACTCTCAAACTCCAAAACTCCAAGTTGCAGGCTGTAGGCTCTGAACAAGCGCCTCGGTTTTCCAAGTGGTTTGCACGTCCTTCTGTATCCAGAAAAGCGCTTGAAGCAATGCCATTGTCCCATCATGTTCTTTCCTAGCATTTCTGTTCTTGTACACATACAATATAACTTCTTTCAAATGTGGAGGCAAAATGTTAATTGGTTTTTTTCTATTTACAAGATTTAGCCAACACTACTATCCATCTTATTTTCTTTGTTCACTAACACTCCGTATATAGCAAGGCAATGAACCAGCATTTTCTATTGTAAGCCTGAAGAACTTCTGAGATTTTACAGGCCGTGGCCCAGAAAACAATCTTGAGAAAGTTTCTGCCTTGTTTTCTAGGATCAGGGCAGATAGAACTGGACAAGAGCTCACAAGGATGCTGGGCTGCTCCTTTTGCTCCAGGAAGGATGAAGAGAACTTAACCATCCCCAATATATATAGTTTTACCAAATTGTTTCCTCTTTTCCCCTGCTCAGTGTTGCAAATGAATGAAAGGAAGAAATTATTGCCCTGTTTTTACCCTGATCAATATTCCGTTGGATTTTAGTTATTTCCACCGTTTGAAAAATGAACTAGTAAGTCTGATCTTACCTTTAGGAGGTTCTTTTCCACATCGTCATGAACTAAGTCTACACCCTTGCGCTTCTCACGGTGGTACAAGCATTCTAGGGCGATCTGCAGGCAAACCAAGGAACATGTGCAAGAGGCTCAGTACTGCATTGTGGAGTGGAACCTTGACCCTTGCTGAAGGAGCCACTGAGCTGTCAAGTAACAACCATCTCGAGGGTGGAACACAAGGATAGGAAGTGGTTGCATTGTGCTCAACAGATCCATCTTGGCAGCTCAGTCCTACTTACCTGTTCATACAGACTTTTAAGGATTAGTTGTCACCAGAGCTGCCACCTGATGAGCTGCTTGGGAATGTGCAACAAGGCTACATTTCCACTTGCCCAAGCTTTGTTGTACATGATGTGGATTAAAACTCCTGCGGTGTTCTACACTCCTCCATCCACAACCCTTTAATCTCCTCTCCCCTCATCCAATCTCCCCAGTGCCAAAGTTGGGCAGGTTCATGCCCATACGAGAGAATGACTGCGTAACTGCGGTCTCGAAGAGTGAATTCAGTTAACCTGCCCCAGAAGGTCAACTTTACTGTCTCATCCGCTTGTTTAGCACCATACTCATCAATGAAACAGCAGGAAATGTTCCCTGAACAGAAAGCAGCCTCAGCCTGCCCCTCAGAATCAGTACAGATACAGGCAATTCACAGAGTCATTACTGAATTGTGTTATTCTGTGTGTATTTGCCTAGAAACATGAGCCATAGCTTCAATCAGCAGTATTCCAGATGTTGATGAGATCCCTTTGACTCCAGCTTTTGCATGTTTTGAGTTTTTGCTAGCATCATTCATTGGCTGTCATATTACTGTGGCTTTTTCTGTGGTAATTAATTTTCCTTTATGATTCTGGGGAACACAAAATTGTATGCTATCCTAAGTGAAAATATTATTGGCACCAAGCAATGGCAGAAAATTCAGAGCCAGATAAGAATATCGGGGTATTGCAGCTTCCAGGGCCATCGTCTGCTCTCCTGTAATGTACTGAGCTGAGCGGCCAGCGCCTGAGGGACGCTCAGCCTCCTGGAGCCTCAAGCCCAACGGAAGGAAAAGAGGGCACAGAAATGTCTTGATAGGTTTCTTTGTTGACTTTCTATAGAAAAGCCCATGGTCGCCAGGTTTGCTTCTTGCTGAGGGGGATGTTTCACCAAGATCTGTCTTGATGATAACACTAAAAGTCATACTAGTATTCAAAAGAGAGAAAACCATTTTCTGTACCCATTCCGCAGGACGGGCATAGAATCATAGCATCATACAGTCATTTGGGTTGGAAAAGACCTCTGAAATCATCGAGTTCAACCACTCTCCTAACACTGCCAAGCCCACCACTAAACCATGTCCCTAAGCACCCCATCGATACATCTTCTGAACACCTCCAGGGATGGTGACTCCACCAGCTCCCTGGGCAGCCTGTTCCAATGTCTCACCGCTCTTTCAGTAGAGAAACTTTTCCTAATCAGGAAATAACTCGCTATGTCAAACCTACCTTCCGTGCTCCTTGCATTTCAGCTATGGCACATTCAAGCCGCTGCTTTGCCATCTCCAAGTCGTGGTTCTCCCAGCAGACACTCTAGCTCATGAGTGAGCTCAGATCTCCAGAAATCAATGTTGGAGATCCTCTCTCCCAGCTTTCTACTGCTGTCTTCTTGCATCCGATGGGTCAGCTGATCCTTATCCCGCATCAGTCGCATTGAAGCAGCGTTCAGTCTCGCAGCAGAGTGCCTGGAGGCTTCAGAGCCTTTTAACTGAGCCGTGGTGGCGTGGTGCCAGTCCCGAGTGCTGCAGCAGGCGGGCAGGGTAGAGCGTAATGCAGGCAGGACAGTGGGCAGCCGCCCAGGGGGATTTAATGGCTGGTCGGAGCTGGGAGGGACCGAAACCCCTTGGTGAAGCCGGCTGGGCCTGCAGGAGCTGAGGTGGCGGTAGCCCGGTGGGCAGTAGGGCCGATAGGTGTCCTTGGTGGTGCTGGTGGGAGCCAGCTCCGGGAACAGGCAGCTCTTCTTTGGACCACAGTAGCTGGCGAGGTGCATGGTCCCCAAAAACTCCATCCTGCCCGGGGCTCAGACAGCTGCCCTTGGGGTGTCTGCGGTCGCTCTGAGCAGCCCCGGGGCCTCAGCCGCCCCTGCTGGGGCTGCGCGGTGCCTAGTGACATCACAGGCGTGTCACAGAGGGCCAAGGGCTGTGCCGTCGTGCCAGCAGGCTGAACCTGGCCTGGCTCCCGGGGCTCTGGGGGGCCTCCGGCCATACCTCCTGGCCTAGGGCATGGTGGGTTTCCTGCCCAGCAGCAGGGCTTTCCCCCGCAGCGCAGGGCTGCGCCTGTTGGCACCCGGAGCTCTAGACACGCCAGGCGACCCTTTGGGGATGGGGCAGAGGGGTTTGCGAAAGGCCCCCCCAGGCAGGTCTGTAGGTTTACCTCCAGGGCGCTTCCCGGGAGCCAAACGCAATCAAAGTGGTTCACGGGGATCAGGTGGTGGCTGCAGGGAAAGGCAGCAGTGGAGACAAGCCTCCTGACCCAAACACCGACTCTGGGAGTCATCTTTTGCACTTGTTTGGCGATCTCTGCCGCTGGTTGGTGCAGATGGACAAAAAAAAGTCTGACTGTCTTGGGCTTTGCTCTTCCCCTCAGCTGTGTTCATCTGCCGTAAAAGTACAAAAGAGGGGCGAGACCTTCCTCTGGGGATGATTTTTCTCCAGTTTACAACCTTGAGGAACTTCTCCGATAACTTTTCTAACTTTTCCTTTCAGCCGTCCGCCCTGTCTGGCAAAACTCTTCAGCTAGTGAAATCCAGTGCTCTAAAATTGTATTGTGACCCACATTCTGTGCCAAGAATTTTGAACATAAAGAATTATTTGTAATCAGGCACTGGATTTCACTAGCTGAAGAGTCCTTAAATCGGCACAGATTTCTTCTAGGTTGAATGCAAGACAATTGCAATTGTTTCTTCTCCGGATATATAACTATGAAACAGCTTGTTGACCTTTTTTACAAGCTGGGGAAAGAAAATAGATCTGTGTATGTATGTGTCTATATCGATGTGTATGTATATGCATTACATTACAGCTTAGCTGGTCTCAGAAAGCTGGCACGCCATTCCAGCCCAGCTAAAAACAAAGTAGCGGTAATTTTCAATAAACAGTCCCTGTAAGGTCAGTTTGTCTTCTCATGATGTTTAAAATCTCTACAACTGTGAGTGCTCGCTGCAGGGAGGGGAGGCGCGGGCAGTGGAGCCACCCACAGTGGGCAGGCACCAGCCTGGGGTGTAGAAGTAGGGTCAGATTGATACTGCAAATGCTCACGCACACCCAAAACTTTCCTTATGCAGTAACTGAGGGAACTAATTCTCAGCAGCTGCTCAGGAGGGTAAAGTTATTCCCGAGCCTGAGAGATGGCAAGAGTGCTGGCAGAGTTCAGCGCGGAGTTCAGCCTGGCTCAGACACTGCAAAGCCTGGGTTTTGCCCAGAGACCCCTGCAGGAAGAGCCCTTGCTGGCTCGGAGGAAGAGGGGTGCTGAGGCAGAGATTTACTTTTCCTTTTTGGGGCTTTCTGTGGGGAATGTTCTAGAGACCCTCAGGAACAGGAAACGATCTGTTGGCCCCAAAAGAGAAATATTTGAACTCATTCCTCAGTTTAAAATGTGGAAAGTCCTGCTGACATCAGTGAATCTGATCCATGTGTTTGAAGGGAAGCACAGACCTAGAGTGCTGGACTGAGCTGGGGTCTAAAACACCCAGATTTTTCACAGGGAAGGTACAGTATAAATGTCTCAGGTGCATCTCACTGGCCAGTTCCTCCCACCCCAGCCATTGGAATTTGCTTAAACTTTTGGATCCACTTCCACATAACATTTTTTCATTCCTTTCCCATGGAAGATAATTGCAGAGCGGTAAGTCCAGAAGTTGCACAAGGATCAAGTGGTGAGGAGCATTAATCTGAGGTAAATGGAAATGGAAAATGGGCAATAGCCTGTTTATTAATGACTAAAAAACAGAGGCCAAACTGCTCAAATACCTTCACAAAATGTATTTTAAGATTTTTTTCTAGGTTTTGTTTTGTAGGTGGACAGTTAGTCAGAAGTTTTTGTGTTTAATACCCCCCCCCCCCCCCCGAGTGCTCTTTCTAAAAAGCTTGTGGTTTTGAAGAGGGGAGTGTTCATAAAAAAGATAACTTTGCAGTATTTTTCTCTCAAAAAGCCCGATTTAACACCAGGATGTGCTGGTTCCTTTCCAAATATTACTAGATACTCCATGAAATGCAAATCAAGAGCTTTATTCTGTGCTGAGTGATAAAAAACAAGGCCGTGCTCAGGACCAGCCGTGGGATAGGCAGGACAGGAGCAGTGGTTGGGATAAGGGGGCCAGTAATAAGGTCCAGATGACATCACAAGCTGGTGCGCACTTCCTCGGTTTGGAAAAGTAAGTGATTATTGATTTCTGTCCTTTTTACCGACCAAATGCAGCGGGCCGTCTGATGGCTCAGTAGCTGATTGGCCACGTTAAGACTCACCTTCCAAAGGCTGGAACCCACGAACTGAACAGCAATTGTCGCCAGCGAGGTACAAACCGCGATCTGTTCCAAACTGCCGTCACACACAGCAGCGGCACGATGGCACTGAACCGATCCGGCATCTCCAGGGTGTCAAACTGCCGCAGCACCACAGCGAAGCGC